TGACTGAAGTGGATGTCTTTTGAATGAATAAAAAAGAATCACTCTTGCTATTAGTGAAGCCTTGAGACAACAAGTATTGAGAAAAGGTGGAATACCAAGCGCGTGGTGCCTGTTTCAACCCATATAATGCCTTGTGTAGTTTACATACTTGATTAGGTGAAGAAGAATCTGCAAAACCTGGAGGCTGAAGCATGAATACTTCTTCGTCAAGACGGCCATGGAGAAATGCATTGGAAATGTCTAACTGTTTAAGTGACCACTGATAGTGAAGAGCAAGACAAAGTAAGATTCGTATAGTGGGTTGCTTAGCCACTGGACTGAAAGTCTCATGAAAATCTATACCTTCTTGTTGCAGGTACCCTTTAGTAACCAATTATGCCTTATACCTTGCAATAGTGCCATCAGAATTTCGTTTAATCTTGAAAATCCATTTACAGCCGATGGCAATTTTGTTAGATGGAAGAGACACCAAAGACCATGTATGTTGTTGCTGAAGAGTAGTCAATTCATCAAGCATAGCTTGATGCCAAACAGGAGACAGCAAAGCTTCTCTGTAAGAAGGAGGTTCAGTAGTAGTGTAGGAAGCTGTGGCTAGGACAGAGGAAGCAAGCAAACAGTGAGAAGTAGCAGTAACAGCAGATTTGGATCTGGTAATCATAGGATGCTGATTAGACTAAGAAGGAGGGAGAGGAGGTAACTCAATAGAAATAGACTGAATAGAAGGAGGAACTGCAGAAACTGGGACAAAAGGAACTGCAGAATCTGGGACTGCAGAATCTGGGACTGAAGTAGAGAGAATCTGAGAACTAGTAGAAGAAGAGGAATAAGGCCAGAAAAAAGATTGAATATCAGGTAATGTGGTTGGTAATGATGTTGAAGAGGTTTGAGAAGATGTTGAAGAAGTCAGATGAGCAAAGAGAAACACGTGCTCATTAAAGACCACATGTCGAGACAGATAGACTCTACCAGTAAGTGGATCAAGACATCGATATCCTTTAGCAAAAGGATGATAGCCCAGAAAAACACAGGAGACAGATTTAGGATGTAGCTTGAGAGGTTGATAAGGCTTAAGCCAAGGGAAGCATTGACAACCAAATATGCGAAAATAAGAATAATCAGGAGTGTATTGAAAAAGCTTTTCAAATGTGGCATATCGGGCAAGCTGTGCACCCCGGACCGGGAAAGCAGCTGGGTACTCAATCCCCTCCGGTGGGCAGGTCTGATCATGACCAAACTGACGCAGGAACCGGAACGGAAAATAGAATACGCAGTGGGTTAGACCAATCAATTGGATCCCAATCAGCCGGGACATACTATAGCTCATTGCCGGGAGGTTGAGCCAAGGACAACGCCAAGCAATGCCGTCTGCGGACAAATTGCACATCCAATCGAACCACCACCTTTCGTCAAGGGCATTGACTAGGCGCTGCCGAAAGGAGTAGCCTCGAGCTGAATAGGCCGGGCATGAGTCCACAACCTGCAACTTATCCATTAACCATACCTGGGGGAGGGATGGAAAATGAGAGAATAAATAACAGAGAGATGTACGATGAGAGAAAAGTAAGACAAGGGTTTTGGAGAGAAAAACCGAGCCTGAGGGTCGAGTGATGTGAGCAAATATATATGTAAGGTCGGGTGGGAAACATTACCTGCAGCAGCAGTGGACTCCCAGTAAACCTAGTCGTCTCCCGGCGATAGACGGAATCTAAACCCATCAGTGTCTCGGCCAAGGTCATGGCAATACAACTCTTCCCCTCTCTCAAGCCTTGGGCGACTTCAATCAGGCGAATGCTAGCCCCACCGAAGCCCGAGGAAAGCAAAAAATGGGACAACAAACATAAGCAGAGGGCGTGTTGACGGAAACCCTGCCAATAATGGTTGCTGCGGTCACCGGCGTCGGAAAAACGATGGATCAAGCCGAGGATGTCCAATTCCCCACTACAGATCAGAGATCGAGCGTCATGCGCCGTGAGCCCACACATCCGCCCTAAAGCCTGGGCGTGACCGAAACGGAGCTGAGGCAAGATCATTTCAGAGCATTCAGACTCCATCAAAACCTGAAAATCTTCGAAAGTGGGACACATCTCCTGGCCGCCAAAGCTAAAAACATGCGTCACTGGATTCCAGAACCTTGCCGTGGCATGGAGAAAAGGGAAATGTAGCGGAGTACGGCTCAGCGTGAATAGTGCATTCAAGCCAAAACCCCGGAAATTCAGCTTTTCCGAGCCATCTAGAGAAGAGATCCAAGATGTGATATTTTCCGCGAGAAACGCCTCCATCTTTGTCTAAAACTAAGATGAAATGAATGTTCCCGAAGTTGAGGCTTTTATAGAAGGAAAAACACTATTCACGGGAACACGTGTCAAAAAATCTGGTGGCTGCAGGACTGAATGGCCGGCCAGCTACTTTTTCTGGCTCGCCAGCTATTTACTTTCTGCAGAAATGGCTGGCCAGCCATTCACTTTTTGCAAAATGGCCGGCCAGCTCCCCGGGATGGCTGGCAATGCTGCAATGTATCTCCCTGACCTTGTTTTACTCTTCGAAGGAGAACTCCAAGCATTTCCATGCAACGGGAGAGTCGAAGGCCTTCATTCCGGATGAGCTCCGATGCCCAGATCGTCAGAAGTACACTTTGTTGTTGTTGAGTTTTGCTTATCGAGTTGTTGTTTTGCTTATCGAGTTGTTTGTCGAGCGGACGTGTTTTGTGTTTTGAGTCATTGCTCTCTGTTTAAGCAATTTTTTGTTAAAGTCTTGTTTATTTGCGTTGTTGCATTTTGCTTATCGAGTTGTAAACTTGCTAAAGATTCTGTTATATCTTAGTAAGTTGAGTTGTTTAGTTTGTTGCGTCGGTTCACTACCTGATTTGGTGATTACACAACGTACATTTCCATTCAAATTCATTTTTGTGCGAAATAAATGATGCGATACGATGCTAAAAGTTCAAAATGCAAACACCTTTCCAAAAGCTATTTCATTTCATCATGCTTTACAACAAACAAAGGTACAAGTTTTACAAAAATAAAACTGCCTAACAATGTGCAAAGTGCTACAAACTACTAGCAAAAAGAAAAATAAAGCAGGAAACAACAGCATCACAGTCCTCGGTAACGGGAACGAGAAGCACGCCTAGTCCTCTTTTGCGGGACAACCTCCACACCATCATCAGAGTCGGAGCT